CCTGGGACTCCTCCACATGGCCTAAAGCTAAAACTCCTGACCGCAGCCTCCCACTCTCCTCCCTCTGCCTTTGTGTTCCAACCACCCAGTGCCTGTCACCATCTTTCTCAACCTCCACTTGCTATCCCTTCTACCTGGAACTCTCTACCCTTCACCCTCTACCCCCAAAGCCTTCATCTCTTAGGTCACAAGATCATCTCCGCCTCCTGAGAGCGGAACTTCCGCCCCGTTTGCTGGAATGTGGGGAGGTGAACTGATCACTTCCTCTGATCCTCACTTGTCCAGTCTGGAACCACACTTATTTCTTGTGTGCTTGTTTCTGTGCCGTCTTCCCTGGGAGGACATGGATGCCCTGAGGCTAGGGACCATGTTTGGTTGCTCACCCACAAGGAGCTGCTGGGTGGCATACGTTGAGCATTCAACCAACACTTGTGGAAAGAATGGACAATCCATCATGTTGGGATGTCTTCCTGCAATACACGAGAGCCGCATGGCCACCACCCGCAGCCAGACCCCCTGGGTCAGGCCGTCTGGCCAGGGTGGGCCTTCATTTCTTCAAGAATGGCCACCCCAGATTTCCAACAAATGGGCAGCTGCCCTGGACATCCAGCCAGTCCAATGAAACTCGTGGAAGTGTCCACCAGAGCAAGGAGGCAGAGCCCAGGAGAGGAGCCAAGTCCCCACCAGGCTCTGGTCCCCAGAGGAAAGACAGGATGGTCCTGGCAGCCATCTCACTCTTGCCACCTGACAGACACACACACACACACACACACACACACACACACACACACACACACCCCTATTTGGCCTTTTTAACACCGGCTGAATGCCTTCCCTGGGGGAGAAGCAGGACTTTCACTTGTGTCCTCCATGCAGCCCCCTCCGCAGCTCCTATGATTAACCCCATTTTTTTTCAGATAAAGGTAACGAGTTTCAGAGAGGTCAAGCCCTTGGCCCCAGGATCCACAGCAAGGATGGCCATATTCAGCCAGCGCAGCCATACCCTTGCTGAAGGAGTGACATTCTCCCATACCTGTTGGTGACTGGCAGCCGTAGTGCTGTTCCCCCCTCCCCACAGTCCCCCTCCTCCCCCTCCAACCCTTCACCTCCCCACTTTCTAGTAACTAACAGATCAAGACCTTGGTCATCCTGGGGGTGGGGGAGGGTTGCCTGGGACCCTGCTCCGGGGGCTGTCTGCTCTGATCTGTCAGGGGTTAGGCTTCACGGGTTACTAAATATTTTACATTATTAACCAGGGTTGTCTGCTTCCCTTGTAACAGATCTTACTATTGGAGAAGCAGATCCTGGGGACAAGTCAAGAGCTGGCTGGGGGCTTCTCTCTTATTCAGACAGGTGCAGACACCCAGAGGAGTCCCCAAGATGCTCGCAGAAACAGCACAATCACCAGGTCCCAGCACGTTACCATGCCGCCTGCTCCCAGTGCCGCTCTATGTAGCCAGCTGGCCAGGGGGCGCTGCAGACCTAAAGAATGGCAATGTTCGGGTTTCCAGAGCTGACACCCAAGGTCAGAGTCCACTAGTGCTAGCCCCCGATCTGCTACTTAATGGCTGTATAGCAAATTACTTAATCTCTCTGTGCTTTGGTTTCCTCTTGTGAAAAATGGAAGTAATAATAATAATTGCTAATTCAGAGGTTTAGGGTGAAGGTTCAATTAGATGCAGTGTGTAAAGTCCCTGGGAGTAAATAAATTAACGTAAAGTCCTTAAAACAGTGCCCGCCCTCCACCCCAATGTTTTATTGGCAAATGGTAGCTATTATTTTTATTTACTGTGTGTGCTTGAAATTTTGCAAAGGTCATTGAATATGCTCCCCCAAGTCCTGCCCCACCACACACACACACACACACACACACACACACACACACACACACACACACCCTCTGCAGCTTTGAATGTTGGAAGGTGACCCTTGGGCCAGCAGAGGGCGCTGGTCTCCCGCAGGCAGGCTGAGCCCCGCCCTGGTGGGGCTGACAGTGCAGCTGGGGGTCTCTAGTTCCAGCCCCCCACATAAATACATCTAACACCCTCCCCCGATTCCTGGAAGAAGGATCTTGGCAAATTAAGTTACTGTGAGTTATGTGAACCCCAGCCCGTGGGAGCTGATGCTAGACTGGCTGTCTGCCTCCTGCCCTTTGCTTCCCGCTTACAGAACCAAGTCACCATGAATTTTCTTAATAATACTTTATTCCCCTGATTTAGCCATTTTTCTTCTCTTTCCATCGGAGGCAGAGAGTTGTCTTAAGGGAGACAGAGTGATGTTGCAGAATGGACACAGGCCTGGAGTTAGACAGAACTGGACTTGAGTACTGGCTCGGCGGCTCAATGAATAACCCAAGGCAAATGTCTGAACAGCCTGTGCCTCAGGCTCCCCAGCCCTAACATAAGAATGACAGCAGTTTATGCTTCACAGGATCAAGTGAGGTAAGTTGCAGAAAGACCTGAGCACTTAGTCTTATCTGTATCTGTGCTTGGAAAGTGTGCAAAAAGGGCTGGGGACATAGTTCAGTGATGGAGAACTTGCCTAACATGTGTGAGGTCCTGGGCTCAATCCACAGCC